AGCAGGGGACCTTCTGACTTGCTTTCCTCTCTCAGGAGAAAGCACAGCCTGTCGGGCTGCCAGGTGGGGGTGAGGGCACCTCAAGGGCTGGGAAAAGGGGCCAGAGCCCTGCAGATTCCCGGGGAGGGGCTGCTCATTCCTTGCCCTGTCACCAAGCATCACTCCCTGCAGCTCAGGGTGGGCATTGGACAAGGCCAGACCCCCAATGCCAAGTTCCCTACCTGGGCAACTCAGGCAGGCTGACTAACCCAGCTGATGTAGCCCCGTCATCCAGCCCTGGAAGCCTCCAGGCCTCGTTTTCTTAGCTGTGTAATGGAGCAAAGCTCTGAGATCCAATTCTGCCCCTGACTGTGGAGGAAAGGCCAGTGGGGGCTGGCCCAGCGCCCCAGACCACTCATCTTTCTTTCTTCCCTTTCAGGGAGTCCCCGAGTGGGCAAGGTGGTCATGGCCGCCGCAGCCAAGCACCTGACCCCCCTGACCCTGGAGCTGGGGGGCAAGAACCCCTGCTATGTGGACGACGACTGCGACCCGCAGACCGTGGCCAACCGCGTGGTGTTCTTCCGCTACTTCAACGCCGGCCAGACCTGCGTGGCGCCGGACTACGTCCTGTGCAGCCGCGAGACGCAGGAGCGCCTGCTGCCGGCCATGCAGAGCGCCATCACCCAGTTCTACGGCGAGGACCCCAAGGCGTCCCCGGACCTGGGCCGCATTGTGGGAGAGAAGCAATTCCGGCGGCTGCAGGGCCTGCTGCGCTGTGGGCGCGTGGCCATCGGGGGTCAGAGCGATGAGACCGAGCGCTACATCGGTGAGCCCCTCAGGGGTGCAGGAGGGCAAAGGGTTATGGGATGGCCCAGGGGCCAACGGGGTAGGTAGTGTAAGGACACAGAGGGGTGCAGGGAGACAGGGTGCGGTCTCGCAGCTTCTGCACCCTTGGCCCTTCTGCAGGGTCCTTGGGGGCTCACTGAGCGGATCACACGCCTCTGCCTGCACCACAAACCCCTCAGCCCTGACCCAACGCCTGAGCCCCTGCTCTTCTGGGTAGCAAGGCCACCCCGCCCCGGGCCCCCAGCCAACACGGACCCTGTCACGAAGAGTGTCCCCACACTGGGGACCCCTCATGCTCCTCCCTGAACCTCCCTCTGCCTCCTGGGTCCCCCAGTCCCGCCCTGCGCGCGTGCCTGCGGAGGGAAGCTTCTGGGTCCCGCTGAGCGCGCCCTGTGCCGCAGCCCCCACGGTGCTGGTGGACGTGCAGGAGACAGAGCCCGTGATGCAGGAGGAGATCTTCGGGCCCATCCTGCCCCTGGTGACCGTGCGGGGCCTGGACGAGGCCGTGGACTTCATCACCCGTCGAGAGAAGCCGCTGGCGCTGTACACCTTCTCCAACAACAGTCAGGTCCGCCAGGGCGCAGGGGGCGGAGAGGGCCCGAGGGTGCGATGCCAGAGAGCCCTGGCTACAGCTGGGGCCATGGGGGCCCAGCCCCTCAGGAACACCTGGCAGGGGGAGGTGGCGGTGCGCAGGAGCACAGGTGGGGTTGAGTCCCTCAGGGGTAGCTCCAGGCATTCAAGCACGGGGTGACCCTCTCCACTCTGTTCCTGTCCTCCCCCAGGATCAGCAGGCCCAGCACCAGAGCCCCCCACCCCACCCCCCACCTCAGTCCAAGTTCTCTCAGGTGGGGTGGCTTCTCCAGATCCAGGGGCTCTTGGCACATCAGCCTCCCTTCCCCAGTTCCTGCCCCCTGGAAGGCCCACACAGGGCACTGCAGCCAGGGCTGGGGACCAGAAAGCCACCTGTGAGCCACTTCTACTTGCCCCACCCTTCTCCAGCCCCAGTGCCCACCCCCTGGGCAGAACACCCCCCTCCCCCAGCTCCTGTCCATTGAGGTGAAATTCACATAAAACCAACCAGAGAGCTGTTTGGTGGTCTTTAGTGCATTCACAATGCTGTACAACCACCACTGCGTCTAGTTCCAGAAACTTCTCACCACCCCAAAAGAAATCTCCAAACCAGTGAACTGTCCCACCCCATTCTCCAGCCTCTGGAGAATCATAACTGCCTTTCAGGATTATTCCCATTTCTCTCATCAGGGGCACTATGTTCAGCTGTCACCGTTGACTGTTGCTGGATCTCCCCATCCCTCCTAACCAAGGGATTTCCCCATCCCTTCTAAGCCTCCCCCACCTACCCCAGGGAAACGCCAACAAACTTAGATCTCTACAGACTTGCCTGGTCTGGTGTTGCACATGGGGTCACTGTCATTGCTGGGAGTTGACTTCGACTTCTGGTGACCCCATGTGACAGACAGGTGCAGCTGAGAAGGTTTGAGTCACCACCCTTTTGCTTAGTGGCCAAAGGAAGATTTGCTGGACAATGTCGTTTGAATTGTTTTTATTTTGGAAATAAAGGCAGCAGAGCGCCGTTGTGCACCCCAGACCCTTGTAAGGTACCCTCGTAGTGCAGTGGTTAAGCGCTAGGCTGCTGAGAGGCCAGCAGTTCGAATCCACCAGCTGCCCTGCAGGAGAGAGATGTGGCCGTGTGCTTCTATAAAAGTGACCAGGTTTAAGTGACTTTCTCGGAAACCCGAGGGGGCAGTTCTACTCTGTCCTACAGGGTCACTCTCGGGTTAGGGACTGCTAATAGGTATGGCATTTGGAGAGAGTTGTTGGAAATGTTCTAAGTTAAATATGGTGTTGGTTGCACACCTGTGGATTTATTAGCAACAGAGCTGTACGTTGCAAGAGAGAACCGTATTGAGTCCCGTCAAGCACTGGGAGAGCACATGCCTGCTAGCCCGAAGGTCGGCAGTTCAAATCCACCAGTAGCTTCTAAGGAGAAAGCTGAGGCTGGCTGCATCCGGAAACGTTGCCATGCAGGGTGACTGCGAGTCAGAATCCACTGGATGGGGACACTCTCACTGCCATCAAGTCAATGCTGGCTCATCGCGACCCCTGTGGGTTTCTGAGACTGTAACTTTCTACCGAGTAGAAAGCTCAGTCTTTCTTCCTCGGAACTGCTGGGGGTTTCGAACTGGCTACCACGCGGACCGCAGCTCAACCAGTGACCCCTACATCCCCAGCGCACCTCTGGATGGGAGTAGAACGGTGCATTTGCCCAAATGAGGAAACGGGTGCTGGTTTGTGTCTCTTTGCTAAAGTTGAGACTTTCTTGGGATTTCACCTGTTTTTCTGGTCCAGGACTCTTTCCACGTAACCGGTGAGTCCCAGCTCCTTGATCTGTGACAGCTTCTCCCCCTTGCTCTTGTTCCCATGGCCTTGAGTCTAGACGGCTGGCCTGGTCTCCTGAGAGCCCCCCATCTCGGTGGGCTGCTGATGTCCAGGTTCGATCAGGGTCTGGGTTTGGGGAAAGAATACCTTGGTGAAGGTGGCCTCTTCACTTTGTCTTGTGGGTGGGTGCCGCTCACCTTTGTCTCAGGCAATTTCCCCCTGGCCTTGCTGGATCCCCACCTCCAAGCCAGCCTCAAAGGCTAGCCCACCCTCGGTGGGTAGGGCTGTGGTTAAGCCCCACCTCGGGGGGGTAGGGGGCTGGCCCTGCGTGGCTGTGACTTGGAATTCTGGGCGTCGCTTCTCTTCCATCATTCCTTCCCATCCGTGTGGACTCACGGGCAGGGCGGCCCACTTCTATGGTGCTCTGCAGACACTCTGTTTCCAAAGTGAAGGTGTGTGACGACCGTGAGTGCCCTGATGGGACTATCGCCATTTCCCCCACAGCACATGCCTCCTCTGCATCCCTGCTTTGGGTCCTTCTTGTGTTATCAGACTTCACGCAGCTGCACACTGCGTACACTAGGGTGGTAAGTACCTTTGTGGACACTGGGAAACCAAGATTCCTGGGAGCCGCTTAACTGCTTAACTCGGCTCCATTGCACGGGCTCTTCCTGTGTGTGCGGTTGGTTCTCTGGACCCTAATCCAGAAGGCTCCCGTAGTTATTTTGCTGCTCAACTTGTCCCTGTTCTGGGCCTGGGACGCCTTCCAGGTTGGCTCGTATCCCTTGGACACACCTGTCCTTTTGTTTCTTGGCCATTTCCTTACTTTGGGACTCACCTTGTGTGTGCCCTGCCCTCAGACACAGACCCTGTTTTCTGGAAACAGAGTCAGCTGGTGTACTGGTCTCGTGTCTGCAAGTCTCTGGGCTAGCTCCCCTGGCTATATGCAGAGCACTCTGGTGGGGGGGCTCTGGTGGTAGTCCATCTGTAACAGGTGTTGTTGCGCACCTGGGCCTCTGTGGTTCAGTGGTTTTTGACACACACACACACACACACGCACACACACGCCCCAACGGGCATCTGTTCTTGTCCCCCACGGAGGTTCATCAAGACCCAACATAGTGAAGTTGTGTGTGTTTGTTGAAACCAGTTACCACCAAGTGATGCCAACTCCTGGCCACCTGAGCAGAACCATGCCCCTCAGGGTTTGCAGTGGCTAATGAAGTCACCAGGTCTGTCTTCCGAGGTACCCCTGGGTGGGCTCCAGCAGGGCATGGTCACTGTTCAGATCACCCCGGGGGGCACCGTTGGATCACAGACTGACTTTTCTTCCTTGGTCATCCTTTGAACAGCCTACAGACTGTCCTTCATCAAGGCAGTCAAAGGCCAAGTCTGGGCTCCTACACCACGGATCTGGTCATGTGGCCAGGGCCCCACTGTACAGAACTCTCGACGGGTGTCTCCCCCCTGCCTCGCCCCCACTCCCTCTCCCCCTCTCCCTGAATGACTCCTGCCCCCTCCCACGGGGTAACCCCTGCACCTCCTCGTCCCAGGCCCCTGGGGTAGGGGTCTGGGTCACCCGGGAGCAGCTGCGCAGGGGCTCTCCCTCACAGACCCCAGGCCTCATTGCTGCTTCCTTCTCCTCGTCAGGTGGTGAAGCGGGTGATGGCGGCGACGAGCAGCGGGGGCTTCTGCTCTAACGATGGCTTCATGCACCTGACGCTCGAGACCCTGCCCTTCGGAGGCGTGGGTAGGTCAGCGCCCCTCCCTCGGGTCAGCGCAGGCGCCACCCACCGAGGGACTGATGCCACACCCCGTTGCTCTGTGCAGGTGCCAGTGGGATGGGCAGCTACCACGGCAAGTTCTCCTTCGACACCTTCTCCCACCACCGCGCCTGTCTGCTGCGAGGCCCCGGGCTGGAGAAGATCTATGCCATCCGCTACCCTCCCTACTCCCCGAGCAAACTGAGGTTGCTGCTGTTGGCCATGCGGACCCGCAGCTGCAGCTGCACGCTGCTCTGAGCAGCCCGCGCGTGCTGGTGGGGAGGCGGAGAGTACAGGGACCAGGAGGCCACGCTCCCCCCATGCCGGCCACTGGTGCTGGCAGGTTGCACAGGTGCTGGGGTGAGGGACAGCAGAGGGGAGCCTGCACCCTGGAACCACTGTGACTCTGCCCTCTCAGAGCTTCAGTTTCGCCAGAAGTCCACTAGAAGTGAGTAACCAACACCAGCACCCAAGATCGCTTCGGGTACTAAAAGTGGGGGCAGCTTAAACACCCCCTCCCAAAACAAACAAACAAACAAACAAACAAACCCATTGCCCCCAAGTTGATCCCAACTCCATGACCCAGCAGGATGGCAGAATGGCCTCATCGGGTTTCTGAGATGGTCATCTTTAAGGCGGTAGGCTACTGCATCTTTCTTCCAGGGAGTGGCAGATGGGTTTGAACCGCCGACCCTCTGGTTATCTGACGATCGATCGTTTTAGGGAAGTGGGACAAGGCTTAATAAAAATGAGTTGCTGAACTGAGCCTCGGATGTCCTGTTCTTCGTTATCGTGCACACAGCTGGTTGGCTCCCACTGGTTTGGGGAGGACTGGACACAGGCATCTCTCCCTCCATGCCCCTTCCTGCTGGCAGTCCCAGGTCCTGGGTACATTGTCACCATGGCCTACCCTCAGCTCATTCTCCTGGGCCCCGAAGCCATGGGCTCCTACTGGAAACAGCAGGACCTCCTGACCTCCTCTATTCACCATGCCCAGGGTGACCACACAATCAGCTTCTTGTCGTGCCCCCTCTCCTCAGGCCCAACGCCCTTCAGGGCAGCTGACCACCTCCTCCAAAGTCCACTAGATTATCAGTCCAGGGAGCTCCTCATCCCTAATGCCCTCTATGGTTGCTGTGGCCCATGGAATCAAGTTCCCAGCCCCAGTGAGTCTCTGTCACCACCCCAGTCTAGTAAGTTGGCAAGCCACTGCCCCCTCCCCTCCCCCTGTCCTCTTTGTCCCGACAATCTCCACATCTGCCTGCTCAACTCTGCCGTGATCTCCCCCAGGAAGCCTTCCCTGACCATCCTGACACAGGGGAGGGGGAGTGGGACTTCAGTCCCTGTGGGACCCCAATGCAAAACCCACCGGAGAAAGACTTCCTGGCCCGCTGGTCATCTGGGTCCTGGGCCACACAGTTTGGGGAAGTCATGAAACCTCCGTGGTTCAGTCTCATCTGTAAAATGGGCTGTTGCGAGATTAAACGTGTGGGATGTCCAGGACAGAGTCCGCCGAGTCCGCGTCCGTCGTCATCGTCTTCCTGTCACTACCCCACACACCCCACTGAGCCCCATCCGCCCTCTGTGGGGCCCAGGGGCCTGCCCTGCCAGGCCGTGTGCTCGAGCCCGAGGGGGTGAGGGTAGCCAAGGAGGGACCCCAGTCCCTGCCGCTGCAGGTCACCCGCGTGCTTCATGGCCCGCCACTCAAAGTCGCCTGGGACGCCCCGCCCCGGATGTCCCGCCTCCTCCAGCGTGCGACGCTCGCGTATTGGCCCCTTTAAGCCAGCATGGCGGCGCCCTGCAGAACTTCAAACTCCTGCGCTGTCTAACCAATCAGAAGGAAGATACCTCTGGGCCCCGCCTCTTTCACCGTGCCTCTGGCTAATCAGGGCCCAGCACTGTGGATCAACCCACAAAGAGGGAAGCCAGTCGGCCCAATGGCAGCGTCCCGGGCGTCAGACTCCGCCTCTCCGCAGACCGGCCCGCTCGGCACGAGAAGGAGCGGCAGCACTTCAAGGTAGGTGTTCGGGGCCCGCTCCTTATGCCCGGCCTGGGCGGCGCGGCGGCGAGACGAGGGGGACGCCCCACGGACCCCACCGGCTCGGCGTCCGGGCCGCACCTCGGCCCGCTCAGGACACCCGGGCCTCACCTCGGTGCCCTTCAGCGAGTAGCGGACGCACCATCCTCACCCCCCCCGCCCCCACCAAGGGCGCATGCGCTGTCCCGACCCGGCGGCTCCGACGTTCGTGGGGTCAGAGGTCACGGGGAGGACGCGGGGGCGGGCGGGGGTTGGGTGCCCGGGGCTAGAACCCGAGGTCTGGGAATCTGAGCGCTCCGATTTCCGGGCCAATTCCCGGCCTACCTGAGCCCGGATGACTCCTGTGACCACTGGGAGGGAAACAGGCCAGGTGATGCCACCTACCCAAGGTCAGCCGGCAGGCCGGGCGACAGGTCCAGAAGGGACTGGGACACGAGGCAGGATTGGACATTGGGCCAATGTCAGGACCTTGTGGGCAGCCCCTGACCTGGTCCTGGTCCTCAGCCGGCGGCAGTGGACGCCGCTTCTGGTTTGAAAGTGCTCCCCCGTCAATCTTTTGGACTTGGGGGAGGGGAGACGGAAGTCTGGAGTCCTAGACCCAGGAGGTGACACGGAGAGAACTTAGGGCCCATGGACGGGGGCCCAAGTCGTAGCCCAACTGCCAGGGAACCGGGAGACAGGAATGGGGAGAGGTTGACAGATACACGAGATGCCCTGGTGGGGCCATTTTCTGAAACCCACATGCACCTGCCTCACTTAAAAAAAAACACAATTCACGTCAAACTTTTTTTTTAGCATCTCTTTGTTTTTATTAAAGTGGCTCGGGCCCCTGACACCCACTGAGGACAACATTAAATCTACGAAAACTCACTTCCATCAAATCGATTCTGACGCACGGCGACCCTACAGCACAGGGTAGAACTGCCCCTGTAGCTTTCTGAGACTACTCCTTTTTCTCCCGCGGAGCGGTTGATGGTTTCCAACTGTTGACCTTGCAGGCAGCAGCCCAAGGTGTAACCACTACGCCACTAGGGCTCCTCAAACATACAAATTCATGGAACAGCCATTTTCTCGTCATTTCCTTTTTCTGCCAAGTTTTTGAAGCCCCCTGGCACAGGAGCCTCCCCTGATCAGAGGTTTCACTTAACAGGTGCCACAGGCAGAAAAGAGCATTATTGTGTGTCCGGCTGAGTCAGCCCTGACTCACAGTGACCGGCTAGGGTTCCCAAGGCCATTCATCCCTACAGAAGCAGGTGGCCTCCTTTCTCTCCCACTGTGCGCGCAGCTGGTGAGTTTGAACCACCAACCTGGTGGTTATCAGCCCAGCGCTTAGGCGGCAGCCCCACCCGCTGAGGAGTGCCCAGCTTCGATAGGAATAGGAAAAACTGCCCCTGTGGGGTTGGTGATTCAAACCCGCCAGTTGCTCTTACAGAGAAAGTTGAGGCTCTCTGCTTCTGTCTCTGGGTCACCAAGTGTCAGCATCGACTCAGTGGCAGTGGATTTGGGGGGTGGTGGTGGTGATGGTAGTGGGGGATGCTGGAGACACTTCCAGTGTCATCATGCTCCTGGCTTCCGTTCAGCTGGTCTGTCTCTGTGGAGATAGCGTCCTTCCCCCGCACTGCCCTCTCCTCTTTGCTGGAGGGTCACCTTAGCAAAGGGTGTCGCTTAGGGCTCTCCGATTGAAGGCAGCACAGTGCTCTTGGTGGTGTTGTGGGGCGGGTGATAGTCTCATGCTTGGTAAAGCAGAGGGGCAGCAAGAAAGCGAGACCCTCAAGATGGAATGGACACTGGCTGCAACCCTGGCTCACACATAAAACCAGTCAGGAGGGTGGCATTGCATTCTGCTGGACATGGAGAAGCTGAACCGGAACCGACCGGACAGCAGTATTTCTTCCATCAGTCAGCCTGTTACTGGAATACAAGGCGACCACTGGGACGAGCTTTAGTTCCGGGTTCAGGGGTTATCTGAGGGCACTAGTCTCAGGCTTCCCAGAGGCCCTGTGGGTTTGACCTTTGCTGGGAAGTTGAATTTGGTTCTCCATCATTACCCCCCTCCCCTGTCACAGATGCGCTGCTTGGCCACACCGACGCTGCTGCGGGCCCTGGCGCAGGTCCAGGCCTCGCGCACAGGTAGGGCAAAGGGACCTCTTCTGGGGTTGGGGAGCCCTGCATGAGTTCACAACTTAAAGCTTCACCCCTCTCTTTTTCAGGATGTTTTAGTGGCCGGAGCCTCCACAGCAGCTCAGTGTCGGCCACCTACAGTGAGTCCTGAGTGACCTCCAGCCACTGGCATCCCCGGCCAGGCTGCCCCTCCCAGAGGCAAGGGTTGGGGCTGCCCCCTCAGGGCCCTTGGTGGTGAAGATTGAACCATGGGGCGCAGGACCCCATGTGCAGGGGTGGAGATCTCCCCTGTGGGTGCAGTCTGAGCTCTCTGGGTGGGGTGGGGCGGGCAGCAGGGCCTGAGCTATGGGTGTAGGGGCTGCATCCCAGAGCTAGGGTGGAGGGGCAGTCTGGAGAATGGGAGGGAGCCTGGTAGTCCCGGAGCAGGCTGCCTCTCCCAGCCCCGCTGCCCTGTCCCCCCAGAGTATGTGAACATGCAGGACCCTCAGATGGACATGAGGTCGGTGACGGACCGTGCAGCCCAGACCCTGCTGTGGACAGAGCTGGTTCGAGGTGGGTTTGAGTGAGTCGGGGCCAGCCAGGCAGGCCCAATGGGAGGCCCCAGGAAGGACACCCTCCTCACCATGTCTACCCTTGCCACCCCCAGGCTTGGGCATGACCTTCAGCTACCTGTTCCGGGAGCCAGCCACCATTAACTATCCCTTTGAGAAGGGGCCACTCAGCCCACGTTTCCGAGGTGAGCACGCCCTACGCCGGTACCCGTCCGGGGAGGAGCGCTGCATCGCCTGCAAGCTCTGTGAGGCCATCTGCCCCGCCCAGGTGAATGCCCTTGGCCAGCCCAGGCCCTCCCTCTCGTCACCCCCATTGTCTCTTCACCCCCTCCTTCTCTTACATCCCCCGCGCCCAGGTGAGCGCCCACTGCTGCTGCTGCCGCCTGAGGGTCCCCAGTCAGGAACCACAGGGTGTCCCCAGGCCGCAGGTGGGGGGCCATTTGACCTGGGCCTCTAGAGACACTCCCAGCAGTGGGAGGCCCCAGACCTGCTGGAAGCCCCTCCCATCCAGAGTCTCTATTTCCTTCTCTGTCAAAAGAGGCTAATTCGACTCAGGTCCCAGGGGCACGCCACTTCACCACCTCGTCACTCAGTGCTTTGACGGGGGTGGCAAGAAAGTGACAGCCATTCTTGGACAGGAGCTAGCAGCTGTCACACAGCAGCAGACAGGGTACCGGGACTTAGGCTGAGGAGACCCCCAGGCACAGCCACCACAGGCGGGAATGGTGGCCTCGGGCACAGGGGTCAGGTAGGGCAAGAGTGAGGGACAGGAGGGTCAGACACCCTGGAGAGTGTGGGGCTGGGGAAGCGCGCCCCCGAGGTGTGGGAAGCCCCCAGAGTGGGAAGGGCACGTGTAAGGCAGTGCAGGCCTGGAGCCGAGCGAGCGGCCCTGGGAGGTTGGTGGGCCCGACTGGGGTCGGGGTCGGGTGGTGGCGAGGGCAGTGAGGCAGGGCCGGCCGTCCCCCTCCAGGCCATCACCATCGAGGCCGAGCCGAGGGCGGACGGCAGCCGGCGCACCACACGCTATGATATCGACATGACCAAGTGCATCTACTGCGGCTTCTGTCAGGAGGCCTGCCCGGTGGACGCCATTGTGGAGGTGTGGGGCTAGGGGGTCGGCATGGGGCAGGGAGGAGGTGGGGGAGGGGCTGGGGCAGGGGCCTGACTGCGGCCACCCCGCCCTCCAGGGCCCCAACTTCGAGTTCTCCACGGAGACGCACGAGGAGCTGCTGTACAACAAGGAGAAGCTGCTCAACAATGGGGACAAGTGGGAGGCCGAGATTGCCGCCAACATCCAGGCCGACTACCTGTACCGATGACCGCCCCGCCCTGCCGCCCAATAAACGCGCACTGACCACACTGCCTCTGGGCCTCGCCAACTCCCTCCCGGCTCTCTGTCGTCTTTCTATGGGAGCCTTCGGCCCCCACGGCCCAGAGTACCCCACCCCCGCACACCTTCCTGGGCCTCTTTCCCAGGGCTGGGCAATGATGACGGTCACCCGGACCTGCCCTCCCCGGGGGCCACCACACACGAGCCTCCCAACACACAGGGTCACCTCAGGAAGGCCAGGCCGTCCTTGATGAGGGGCAGGAGGACATCTGGTCGGGCGTGACAGTCACGAGAGGGTGACACAGGCTCTGCTGCCCCTGAGCTGGCCTCCCCTCTAGCCAGCCACATCCTCTTTCTTGTCCAAGTCCCCAGCCCAGCACTTCCCCTTTGCCCTCCCAGCCAGACACTCCGGTGTCTACACAGGCCCACACAGCCCAGGGCTGAGGGGCGTGAGCGAGTCAAAGCCAAGAGGGACCCACACACCTGGTGCACGCCCATGGTAGGAGCAAGGGGACTGAGTGGCCCAAGGTCCCTGTTGTGTGGACAAGGGAGAGGACCCAGTGGTCAGTCCAGGAAAGCCTGGGGCTGACACCCCTGACTCGGCACCCCTCAAACCCTGAGGGCTAAGGGGTGAGTAGGGGACCCAGAAATGCCCCGGTGTCCACCTTACTGGGGTGCCAGGGAGGGCTGCAGATGAGAGCCCCCCCTCAAGGGACACACAGGAGTGGCCCCCTAGCCAAAATGAGGCCGACTTGGGATCCTGTTGCCTCTCATGTCACTTCTCAGACAGCAGGCCTTCAGTGATGAGCGCGTCCCAGAGACTTGTCCCTAGATAAGTAGAGCATTCGAATCCAAAGTAGGTCTGAATGTGGTGGCTTCTCCAAAAGCGAACCCTGGCTCAACCCCCTTCCCACCTCCCAGGTTTGTGCACCGTTGTTCACTGGACCCTCGAAGTGGGGACAGCCCAGTGTCCACCCATAAGGCAGGAAAGGCTGCCAGGGAGCACGGAGCTGAAAGAGCTAGTCACTGGGGTGACTTGTTTGACCCTGTTTGTAAGGGCTGTCCAGAAGCCAACCCTTGGGGGCAGCAGGGATTGGGGTTGGGTTTAGGGGCCCTCAAGTCGGCTGACTAGTCGGCACCACAGAGCAAGACGCTGGCCAGTCCTGCCATCTCCCCTTCATTACCTTGGAGCCTTCTCACTGCCCCTCTACCAGCAGGACACTCCAGGAACTGGACATCGGACGACATGTCCAAAATAACTGAGGCGAAGTCTCGCCATCCTAAGGAGCACTCTTGGCCGTGTGTCTTCTGGGACAGCCGCCTTCTCTTGGCGCTCCAGGGCACTTCCAGTGTGACTGGCCAGCACCATCATTCAGATCATCCACCGTTCTTCACCTTTCCTTAGTGCCCAACCTTCACATGCCCATGAGGCGGTGGAATGCACCAGGGCTCGCTCGGGTCAGGCACACCGTCCTCAAAGTCACGTCCTTGCTCTTCAGCCCCTCTGAGAGGTCTTGTGCAGCAGAGTCACCCAAGGCAGTGCATCCATTGATCTCCGGACTGCTTGATCGCAAACCAAACAACACCCTTGACAACTTCGACCTTCCCTCCATTTACCATGATGCCACCTATCCGTCCAGTTGTGGGGATTTTGTGGTGTTTTTTGGCTTTTTTTTATTCCGTTTGAATTGTGATCCATACTGAAGGCCTAGCATTTCGTTGTTGGGTGATGGGAAGTGCTGCAGCAGCAGATGGAGGTGAGGGTTGACCACCATTAAGAACACGCCAAAGGCTTGGAAAAGGCTTCCTTCAGAGGGTGTGAATTTCTCCTGGGTAACAGGGGACCCCTTCCTGCTGTGATGAGCCCCGTCGGTCTGGTGAGCTGGAACACCATTTAGAGATCCATCTCCACGTGTCTATAAGGTATTGAGCACCACTGTGTCCAAGGCCCCCCTGGAATTGGCGCCCCAAGTTCCTATCTGCCATTTGCTGAGGACCCTCAGCTTCCAGCCTCAGCCCAGCTGCCCACCCTCGGCTCCCTCGGACCCTGTAGGGTCAAGGATCCACGGAGGTGAGGGGCACCCTTGCCCCTCTGTTCTCCAGGGGTGCCAGCCACAGTTCAGGCAGATGGGCCTAGCTGAGGCCCTCACTTCCGGAGCTGGGGCCCAGGAGCCAGGCTGCAAAAAGGCAGAAAAGGGTCACCCTGGCCCTAGGCCCCAGGGTGCTGGGGCCCCTGGATCCCTGCCAGCTCCCCATCCCCTAGCGGTCAGTGGGAAGTGTTATGTTCCCGCCACCTCCTCCAAGAGAAGGGATGTTGGAAGTGGGGAGGCTGCTGGGGAGACGCATGTGCGCCTGTACATCCCAGCAGCCTTCTGGTGGGTGGTACAGGCCTTTCCCTAAAGGGGTCTAAGCGCTGGCCACAGATCTCCACTCACATACCCACGACAGGTCACCCCGGCTGGGGTGCCCCGAGCGGGCTCATGAGGGTCAGAAACGCAGGTACCTCCCTGGGGCCGCAGTGCGGCTGCTTTCTCAGTGGCAGTCCCCGACTTCCTGATGGGGCGGGGCCTTGTCTGGGGGCGGGGCCTTGTCTGGGGGCGGGGCCTGGGCGGTGCACTCCCGGCTCCGCCCCGCCCCGTCCGGCCCCGCCCGCGGCCCGCAGACTTAGTCGTGTGGGCGGCCGGCCCAGAACTGACTGCCTGTGGCCTGGCCGCGCCGAGGGCCATCCTGGAGCAGAGCGGCCCCGCGTGCTGCCGACCCGAGGGTGAGTGTCCCCTCTGCACGTCCCCCTGCCCCCGAGCCCCAGGAAGCAGATCCTGGCGACCCCACCCGGTGGGTGAACGGGGATGCAGCAGCGGCGGGGCGGCCCGAGGCGATGGTGACCAGGAAAATGGGGTGATAACAGCAGGGAACAAATACTGAGCCCAAACCGGGGCGCTCCGCTGGAGAAAGGACCCATTCTACAGATGAGGAAAATGGGGCGCATGCAACAGGAAGTGGCCCAGCTCGGAGACAAGCCTGGCCATCGGATTCCAGCGCCCAGGGGACCGCGTGGGAGGAGAGCGCTTTGGGGTGGGCTCCCGAGGGACCAGGAAGGGAGGGGCTCAGGGTGAGGAGGGGCTGGTAGGACCCTGTAGGACCTGGCCACCTGCACCCCATGCTGAGGAGCGGATCCCAGGTCCACCTTGTGTTACTGAGTTGAACGGCTTCTCAGAAACAGATAGCCCCGCCTTTCTTCTGCACAATCTTTAGGTTAGTAGTGCAGTCCGAACCATTTGCAGCAATTGAGGGACGAGGTGCCTTCATTTGCTCAGTAAACCCGGCTGGGATGACCAATCCCTAGCTCAAGCAGGGGACAACAGAGCCAGAGGGGAAGGGAGAGGCAGTGAAGGCCTGACCTGCAGGGTCCTGTGGAAAGGCCTGGTCCCTACACAACCCACGCCCATCAGAAGTTGTCCCATCCTTGGGGGCTGCCAGGATCAAGAGGAGCCAGCCCGATATCCCCGTGAGTCAGACCCTCTGCACCTCACACGGGTTCATTTGTCCGGCCAGCCCTGCAAGCCCCCCGGAGGGTCAGAAACAGGCCTTTCCCCGGCTCCTCCCATGCCTGGGACTCCTAAGCCTAGCTTGGTCACCTGCTGTTCACGTGACTTCCCCACATCTCAGTTGACTTAACTGTAAAATGGACTGTAGTGCCCCCCTCCCCCAGGGCTGTCATCAGTGGTTAACAGATGGTGCCGATGGCAAGGTTCCTGGGGGCTCGGGGTGGCCAGCCCCGGTCATCCAAAGAGGAAGTGGAGTCCCCGAGAGGCCAGACTTGCCCAAGGTCATGGGTGCTTATACCCGAGCAGGACCCAGAGCCCAGGTCCCTGGCCTCTACTGTGTGGCTCCACCCATGTCCTCAGCCAATGGGACCTGGCTCATCCTGCCCCTGGCTACCCCCTCTCTACCACCCAATTGGGCTTTCACTTCTCCCAGGCTGGGGTCAGGGCTGCGGTTCTCTCCCTCTCCAGAGTGAAGTAACCGGGGCCCAGGGGAGGAAGTGACCCGCTGGGCAGGCTGGTTCCAAACATCCCTCATGCTTGCCTGTACCCCCTAAGGAAATTGCCTCCAGAGACCCAGAGCGGCTGGTCCTGGGCCCCGGGCCTCAGGAGAAGGGCCGCCCCGTGCAGCCACTGCCCCGCCCTCCCCACCGGCAAGGCCTTCCTGGCTTTCCTGGTTTCACTTTCGTCGTTTCCACACCTGGGAGGCTGCTTCCATTCCCACTAATGACAGCGCACACTCCTCCCTGCCTTCCCCCTGGGGCCCCCTGCACCCAGGGCCAGCCCCACCCCCTAAGTCACACAGCCCCCTCCCAGCCCTGTGGTCCCTGGGTGGAGTAAAACTGGGCTGTGAGGGAGGGGACCAGCTGGGGACCCTGTGAAAATCCCATGGGGGCAGCCCTGAGCCGATGGAGCCCAGTGAGGTAAAGGCCAGCCCCCACTCCAGCCTCATTACAGAGCCGCCTCTTCACAGCGCTCCCACTTCTCTGCTGGGGTCCACAGTTGGTGACTGGCCACACCGAGCCCAGCCCCCAGACCACACTCACGACCTTGGGGTTTATTGTCCAAGCCTCCGGGTACAAGTCAGGGGTGGGTGGGATGAAGTAACCGGCATCTCGGAATACAGTTCTTGCGTAAGGTCAGTTTCCTCTTAGCCTCTATCATGGGCTCCTACCCTCCACCCCTGGCCCTCCACCTGGCCTCTGCCCTGCTGGGTGCCCCACTCTGCCAGCAAGCCCCCTGCACAAGGGCACTCAGCTGCCTCACCCAGGGGGTGGGCACACCTCGCCTGCTTATCCGGTGCCCCTGCCCTCGAGTGCCATCTTCACTGTTGCAGCTCTCTCTGTCTTGGAGAAGTACTCTAGTGAGGGGGCCTTCCAACATCTGGGATTGGCTCCCTTGAAGCCAAGTGGGATGGCAAAAGTGACCAATCCATCCAAGGGTTCCACGCACCTCATTTGCATTCGCCAAAGCTGCCCGATGCGGAAGTACTTTATTTGCATAATCCCAGCCAGTGGGGTTTTTTAGGAGTTCTAAGATCATGGCTCTCATTGACATCAAGTCCATCCCAATTCGCAAGGATCCTACCGGACAGGGTAGAACTCTCCCCTGTGAGTTTCCTAGACTGTCACCAAAGCCCCATCTTTCTCCGTGGTTTCAAACTTCAGACCTTGTGGTTAGCAGCCCATTGGGTAGCCACTAAAGCGACTCATTGCACAGTCTCCATAATGTGTGGATGTAGGCAGAGGGCCCAGGCATGGTGAGCTAGGGCAAGATAGGGGAGCCTGGGGTCTGTCAGCCCGGCCCCGCTCCAGCCTGGGTGGCCTCAGTCTCCCCATCCATCTGATGGGCGTGGTGCAGGACTTCTTACCAAGCTGAGGTATAAGATGCCTCCGACTGAGGCCCCCCCCCTGCCCACAGGACCATGGGTGCCATGTTCCGGGGCGAGGAGGTGGTGCTGACTCAGCTCTTTCTGCCCACTGCTGCGGCCTACACCTGCGTGAGCCAGCTTGGTGAGCTGGGCCTCGTGGAGTTCAGAGATGTGAGTAGGGGCTGCCAAGCTGGGCTGGGGGGCTGGGCTTCTCCCGGGGTGTCCCTGCTGAGACCGACAAACAATCTAGTCTGAAGGTGGGCCCTGTGTAGGCCGAGGAGACTAGAGAAATCCAGAGACACTCATAGTGTGTGATAGAGAACTTTATATCAAAGAGTCATTGTGTATTAAGAAAACATCCCAGCCCAGTCCAGATTACGTCCACGAGTCCGATATGAGCCCATATGTCCAATGCCAATCTATGAGCTCCTCTTCAGACTCACGCAACACATGCAATGACGCCGGATGCAGGAAGATCACAGGCCAGTGGGTGGAAAGTCTTGTGGATCCTGTGGTGGTGGGAGCATCTCAGCGCTGGCGTGGAGACCCACGTGGCTCCTCCAGCTCCCAGGGCTCTGGTTTCCAACGGCATAGCTCTGGGTGGCTTGCCAGCAGGAAGACAAAGCAGAGAGTATGAGTCTGGCCTCCAGTGAGCTATTTCCCTTCTTAGCGCAGTGGTTCTTAACCTTCCTCATGCCGTGACCCTTTCACGCAGTTCCTCATGTTGTGGTGACCCCCAACCATAAAATTATTTTCCTTGCTACTTCATCACTGTAATTTTGCTACTGTTATGAATCAGGCAATCCCTGTGAAAGGGTCGTTCAACCCCCAAAGAGGTCGAGACCCACAGGTCGAGAACCGCTGGCTTAGCGCCTCCAAATGAGCTCATCATGCTGCGACCTGATTGACAGGCTAAACGTCACCCCTTAGCTCTTAATACTCTCAAGTTGACACCAGATGATGTAACTACCACAGCCCCTCCTGCAGAGGCCACCTCCCCAATATCGGAGGCCCTCTGACATACAGTGAAGCATGTGACGACCAGCCTAAAGACAGGGGGTCCAAACCCATCCAGGGGCAGCTCAAAAGAAAGGCCTGACAGTCTGCCCAGAGCCCGAGGGCGACTGCCCTGCACCAGGGGCAGCCCCAGGGCAAGAAGTTTCTCAATAGCAACTGACAATTGTCCCTTGGGGCCTCCAGCCCTGCTCGAATCAGGCAGCCCCTTGAATCAGGGACTCTGTTCTAGGGACATCCAGAGGCTACTCTGCCCTAACCCTGGCCAGCACAGAGGGCTGACCACCCCTCCGGTTGGCTGCCTGGGCACTCAGCATCTTGCTGGAGGACCTGGCCCAGGCCTGAGCAGAGACCCGCCCCAGCCCCCTCCTGGGTCACTGACCCCTCTCTGTGGCCTGCACAGCTCAATGCATCCGTGAGTGCCTTCCAGCGACGCTTCGTGGTGGACGTCCGGCGCTGCGAGGAGCTGGAGAGGACGTTCAGTGAGTGGAGGTCAGGCGGGCTGGTCGGGAGGGGGGCTGCTTAGCTAGCCTGGAGGCAAGGCCCAGGGGCCTCGTGGGGCTCTCTGGGGAACGGGGCAGCCTTGAATACGAGAGGACTTGGACTTTGTCCGGTGGGCACTGGAGGCCACCATGGTGTCCCATGCAGGGGGGAGGGACCTCTGTCCCTGACCCCACCCCAAGGAGGAGGCTCTAGCACCGAGATGGAGCACCCACCTTGCCTGCCATCTCCATGGTCGGAGGAGGGAGCGGACTTTATGGAATGGCCCTTCGCCTGTTCTAAGAAGCCCTGGGGGAGCAAAGTGTAAGCGCTCGGCTGCTTACCAAAGGGTCAGGAGTTCGAGCCTGCTCAGGAGCTCCTCAGCAGTGTGACCCAGTCAAGATTTCAGTTAAGGAAACGGTCGCCCCTCCTTATGGGCGTGGGGACCAGCTCGACAGCACCCAGCCACGAACTTACTGCTGTGGGGTCTATTCAGACTCCGAGCGCCCCGTGGTCTGAGTGGGTGCACTACTGTCTCGGCGTTTTTGCCTGTATTTCGGGACTTGCTAGTCTGTGCCTTGGGTACCGGTAACCACACTGTTGTAATGATCAAGGCTTTATAAGATGTTCCATACGCTCTTATTTTATTCCCATCTTTTTAATTCTGGAAAATTCTGAGCAGTACAAATAGGACTGGAAGCGTTCCTCATGTCTCGTCACAAACAGACACGGATGTCAGAGCCGGAACAAAAGCCACACCCACTGCGGTTGAACTGACAGGAATTCTGGTTGACCCCATAGGTTAGGGCAGGACAGTAAATCTTTCAGTCTTCCTGCAGCCGGGTGGCTGGTGGGTTCAGACCCCCAGGACAGAGTGGACCCACCCCTGTGGGTTTCTGGGGCTGTGACTGTTTCAGGGAGCAGAGTGCATAACCCCCTAGGCCACCAGAAACTAAACCAAACTCACTGCCACCGAGTCATCTTCCAGCCCCCAGCGGCCCAGCAGGAAGGGTAGAAGGGCCCCTGCGCATTTACGTGACTGTCACTCCGTGACTGCACTGGAGCAGACAGCCTCTTCTGTCTCCCACCAAGCAGCTGGTGGTTTCGAACTGCAGGCCTTGAGCACAGCCCAACGAGTAACCACTACGCCACCAGGGCTCCAAGAATCAGCCTTGTTAGAACACTCACCCTGGGCTGCCTGCTCGGGAGACTCGTGACAGCTGTGGGCCTGGGCCTGGCCTAGCCATTACCCCGGGGGCTGTGCAGAGGGAAAGCTGCCCCCACCAGAGCCCAGAGGGACGGCAGGGGCCTTCTGGGATGGAAGATTGGCCTGTGAGTTTCAGGGCTCTCTGACTCATATCCTTAGTTGGCTGGAGGCAGATGGGAGTTTGAGGATTGGACGTGGGGTCCTCAGGTGGCCCACTGACCCTGTTCTCCTGCCCCCAGCGTTCCTACAGGAGGAGGTACGGCGGGCAGGTCTGGTGCTGCCTGTGCCCGAGGGGAGGCTGCCAGCGCCCCCGCCCCGAGACCTGCTTCGAGTCCAAGAGGAGACTGAGCGCCTGGGGCAGGAGCTGCGGGACGTGCGGGGCAACCAGCAGGCCCTTCGGGCCCAGCTGCACCAGCTGCAGCTCCATGCAGCTGTGCTGAGCCAGGGCCACGGCCTCCCGGTCTGTGCAGACGCAGGTGGGGGAGCGGGAGCGGGAAACCCCTGCGCCCCCCACTCACGGTGCCTCTGCCCCCCCTAGGCCGAGGCCTCCCAGCCTGAGGGACTCTCAGAAAGGGTCCCCCTGCTTCACTCCTCCGGAGGGCCACATCAGAACCTGAGGGTCAAGTGAGTTGGGGCAGGCCTGCCAAGGTGGCTCCTGGTCCAGAGCTCGGCCGCCTGCAAGTCCCCGGTCTCGGGCTGCCCTGTCCCCCCTGGGCCCTGGTCTCGTCTTGTCCTCGCCCTGGGGGTCCCTCTGCTTTGGCCTGGCAGGGCGGGTGGCATGAGCAGTCCCCCATCCTTTCAGCTTTGTGGCTGGAGCCGTGGAGCCTCACAAGGCTGCCGCCCTGGAGCGCCTGCTGTGGAGGGCCTGCCGAGGCTTCCTCATCGCTAGCTTCCTGGAGGTGGAGCAGCCGCTGGAGGACCCGGTGACGGTGAGTGGCAGGG